TTAGCCGCTAGAGGGCGATTCTCGAATTTGAGCAATACTGTGAAATCTTCATAACTTTTTTGTTTATGAAAATAACTGATTTCCGTAAAAACTTCCTAAAGGCACTTTTCAGTGACGTTTTCAGTTTTTTGCTATTATTACTGATTAGGTACAATATTTTTCCTACGAGTCCATCTTATTTATTTCCAAAAAATGTTCCAATATGCAAAGATTTTATAATGATGGTACAAAATAGCACATAATATAAAATAATATATAACATAAATCATTTATTTGAGCCTAAATATCTTCATTTTTAGCAATAAAAAAATCGTGCGGAAATAGTTATTTGTGCAACCAGTTGGGAAAAGCACTATTTTTCATAACGAACTGATTTCTGCGAAGCGAGTTCCGCAAAAGGAAGAGAGTTACGAAAAATAGTGCTTTTCCCAACGAGTTTCACACAATATTTTTTCTATTTTGGTGTCATATCGAAGTCTTTTCGACACTAAAAGTAGTTTCGAAAAGAAGCTCTTTGTGACACTCCTTTTTTACTTATCGGAGGTTGGTTACACTGGCTGACTGATGGCCATCGAACTGTCATTTGCGATTTTATGGCCTCACAGCAATCACAAACCAGTCAGAGCGAATTTCATTGGTTGAAAACAATCAGAAACAGTCAGAAAACTAGTTTCAACCAATGAGGTTCACTCTGACTGGTTTGTGATTTCTCTGCGAACAGACCTTTTATAGCATTTCTATATTTGGCATGCAGTGTTACCAACCTAAACATATGAAATCAGGAAATATAAGAATAAAATTTCCAAGAAAAGTTTGTTTTTTTCAATTAAACAATACCAAAATAGAAAAAATAGTATAAAATATTCGTTTCATAAGACATTTCATCGCACTCGCCCTTTAGAAAACTCGCCTCCGGCTCGTTTTCTAATATAGGGCTCGTGCGATAAAATAACGTCTTATGAAACTTGTATTTTAATGTACTATTTTCTAATTTTGACCATGTGATCCTGTTTAATTCAAGTTAAAATATAAAAAAACATACTTCGAATAATTATGTCTAATTGTCAAGCGTCAGGTGAGTTCAGAGATGTTTATTTGTTAAGTTTTTCGTTTTTCGTTGCTACAGAAGCAATAGTGTCAACCATAGAGGTGTCAAGTCTGCGTCTCTAATTTTTGAAAAAGTAAAAAAAAAATAATTAATACTGTTCTTATATAAACCACTCAAACTTTATAGAGGAAAAGAATAATAATTATTAGATTCTATTGTCCATCAATTCAGGAAGCGACGTACCGAGTGACATTGAGGAGTTGGCTTGGTCAAATTAAATTTCCATATGTACAGGGTTATTGGTTATAAATGTCACCCCCCTCTATCTTTTTTATTTGACATTTTAGAAAAAAGTGTCCCAAATAAAAGTTTTATTGGTTGAAATTAAATTTTTTGAAAAACTCACTTTCGCATATACAGGGTGTTTCAGAAAAGCTGGTCGTGCTCCAACTTTCTTATTTTGAATGGAATACCCTGTATATTATTGAATATTCGAATTCTAAATAGAATTCTGAGCAGATTTTATTTGATATACCCTATACCCAAGTTCAACTGTTTTGGAAATATTGACAGTTGAAAATTGACTTTTTTGCAACCTTGACGGCTGTAAAAACCTAAACGGTTAACGTTTGAGCAAAACCGATCTTACATTTTTTTCTTAGATTTTCATAAGCTATCATTTGACACTAACCTTGAATTTAATTGTAGATTAAATTTAATTGGAAGTTTTAATCATGGATTAAATGTCACCTGATAGTTTATGAAAATCTAAGCTAAAAATGTGAGATCGGTTTTGCTCTAAAATTAACCGTGTAGGTTTTACAGCCTGTCAAAGTTGCAAAAATTTCAACTGTCAATTTTCAACTGTCAATATTTCCAAAACAGTTGAACTTACGTATAGGGTATATTACATGAAATCTGCTCAGAATTTTATGTAGAAGCCGAATGTTTAATAATATATAGGGTATTCCATTTAACATAAGAAAGTTGGAGCATGACCAGCTTTTTTGAAACACCCTGTATATGCGAAAGTGAGTTTTTCAAAAAATTTAATTTCAACCATAAAACTTTTATTTGGGACACTTTTTTCTAAAATGTCAAATAAAAAAGATAGAGGGGGGTGACATTTATAACCAATAACCCTGTACCTACAAAGAATATAATAACAATACTTCAAGTAGTTTAATGTTAAAATTATCACAAATTTTATTTCTGTATTTTTCGCAACTGATGGTGAAATTTACTTTTCATCACCAGTTACGAAAAATTTTACTTTTCGTAACTGGTGATGAAAAGCAAGACATTTGATAACGTCAACGAGTTTTGAAAAGTGTCACTTTAAATGTCAAAATTAGAAAATAGTTATTTGTGCAACCAGTTGGGAAAAGCACTATTTTTCGTAACGAGCAGATTTCTGCGGAACGAGCAAAGCGAGTTCCGCAAAAGAAAGCGAGTTACGAAAAATAGACAATAGTGTTTCCCAACGTGTTTCAGACAATATTTTTTCTAATTTTGTATATCATGATCTGATCCATTCAAATTCGAACCAAAAACATAAAAAATATCCCTTCTATAATTATTTTTTCCTACAGCCGTGCGGAAAAATCGATTTTCCGCACTGATATGCGTGCGGAAAATGAGTTTTCCCGCACGGTGCGGTAAAACTTTTTTTTTGACATATCAGTGCGGAAAAAGTTTTTCCGCACGGCTGTCAGTGCGGAAAAAATTTTACCGCACTGATATGTCAAAAAAAAAAAGAAAAATTTTACATTTTTTCGCCTGTAGGAAAAATATTGTACCTAACACTGCGGAAAAATTCATTTTCCGCACTTGTTAGGTAAATAGCTATTTCCTACGAGCGTGCGGAAAAGTTACTTTTCCGCAGGATTTTTCGTTTTGAAAGTTGTACTTTTCCGCACGATTATACTTTTTCCTACGAGCGTGCGCAAAGTAGTACTTTTCCGCATGCATTTCCGGGCTCAAAGTTACACTTTTCCGCACTCAGTGCGGATACAGGCCTTATCCGCACTGAGTGCCGAAAAGTAATTATAATTGTCAAGCAACAATAAGTGCACCTGTCGACTTTGACACATGATGACAAATTTTTCCTCTATTTCTATATCAGCCAACATCTATACAAACACCAATTATAAATTAACTTTGACACATCAGATTTGTTCTCTATTTATATGCAAAAATCTACAAACTTTCTCATCAAATTTAAACGCTTTAAGATGAACAGCTCTGACGAGGATTTTCTGTTATTTTTTTTTGTTATGTAATTTTTTGATAAATGCATAGGTTCCCTTCAAGTTAATTAAAAATAATTAAACAAATTATCGGTTTTTTTTTCAAATTTTTGTTATTACCTACCTGATATGAAGCTCGTAGGAAAAATTTTGCTCCTAACACGTGCGCAAAGTGTCTTTTCCGCACGCAAACACGTATCCGAACTCCGCTCCGCGTCGTTCGTATAACTGTGTTTGCGTGCGGAAAAGTAACACTTTGCGCACTTGTTAGGAAAATAACTATTTCCTACAGCCGTGCGGAAAAATCGATTTTCCGCACTGATATGCGTGCGGAAAATGAATTTTCCCGCACGGTGCGGTAAAACTTTTTTTTTTGACATATCAGTGCGGAAAAACTTTTTCCGCACGGCTGTCAGTGCGGAAAAAAATTTACCGCACTGATATGTCAAAAAAAAAAAAGAAAAATTTTACATTTTTTCGCCTGTAGGAAAAATATTGTACCTAACACTTGCGGAAAATATTTTTCCGCACTCGGCAGCCGCGTGCGGAAAAATTCAATTTTCGCACTTGTTAGGTAAATAGCACGTTTTTACTTTTCCGCACTATTTTTTTACTTTTCCGCACGATTTTTACTTTTACTGAAAAGTGTACCCATATTAAAGTTCGGGGGCCTTCTATTTGGGGGGCATAGTCCCGCGGGGGCTCCATTTTTGAGAGGCACAGTCCCGAGGGCCCTTTTCTGGGGGGCGGGGCGAAGCCCTGGGTGCTCCTTTTTGGGGGGGCGAAGCCCCTTATTTGGGGGCACAGCCCCGCAGTGCCCCCTATTTTGGGTGGCATAGCCCCGCGAAGGTAGAGAATCCTAACAATTTTTTTGCACAATTTAGTTATAGGCCAAGGATCATGATAAAAAAATCCGGTTCCATTATTTTTTTGTGTATAAAAAATCGTGCGGAAAAGTAAAATCGTGCTGAAGAGTTACTTTAAATAATTAATTACTTTAAATAATTAATTAATTAAAAATAATAATAAAAACTTAAAAAATAATTATAGAAGGGATATTTTTTATGTTTTTGGTTCGAATTTGAATGGATCAGATTATAATATACAAAATTAGAAAAAATATTGTCTGAAACACGTTGGGAAACACTATTGTCTATTTTTCGTAACTCGCTTTCTTTTGCGGAACTCGCTTTGCTCGTTCCGCAGAAATCTGCTCGTTACGAAAAATAGTGCTTTTCCCAACTGGTTGCACAAATAACTATTTTCTGCGATTGACGAGAAATGTCAGCATTTTTGACCGGTTGACAGGACGCAAAACTCAATATTCTAGTATTTCAATTATGTTTCAATAGTTGCTAAGGAATCAATGAATAACAATACGGGAAACACTTTTCCGGCCTAGGCCGGGAAAGTTATTCTCGTACTGCTGAATAATTGGAACAAAAAGACAAACATTTACCAGATATTTAACCGATCGAAGAAAAAATAGTATGTGTATGCAAATTCTCGGCCGGTTTTTGCCGGCCTCGGCTACGCCTCGCCCTTCAACTAACACTGTCGGCCGAGAATGTGTCACTTTTCCACCTAAATACACAATATACTAATTGTCACTCCCAAAAACAATATACAATACACATTATTACAAATGTTTTTTTTTTCCTACATTCTTCAATTATTAACGTCAATTTCTATGCGTACTTTAGGAATTGTCTCAAAAAACAAAAAATCCGAAACAAACACCTACTGCAAGTCATCGACGGTTTGAAAAAGCAAACCCCCAGCACGGAACAACAAGAAAATATAGTACAGCAAAAACTAGATGAAATGCAACGTTTAATGGAAAACGACAACATAATTAACCAACAAAAAAGGATTGAAGTTAGTGGAACTTTTGTCGATTTACAACTAAAAATATTAATTTTAAATATTTTTTAGGATGCTAAATTAATGGAACATTTACGGATAAAATTGGAAGGTGCCTTGGATTATCAAGAACAATTGCAGAAAGCTTTGGAGGAAGAAAGGCTCATCAGGAAATCTTTGGAGATTCAGTGTGAAGATTTAAAGGTAAGCTTGAGATGATTGGAAAATGGAATAGGAAATCACCCATATTATGCTTAACACATTTTTAGAAGCCTACCAGTAGCTCAGATTCGACTACCAAATACAAATCCCTACCCGTTCAAGGTGTACTGGAACGTGTTAGCAAAGAGCTAGAAATTATTAAGCAAGAGAAAGCAAACCTCATGGTGGAATTTGAAACCTTAAAGCAAAATAACAGTGTGTTGGACTATAATCTAAAATATACCAAAAAAATGTTGAATCTGGAAATTGAAAAGAATCGCACTCGAGACGAAGAATTTAGGGCTTTGTTAGAGAAGGAAAGAAAATTGTTTGACGAGTTTTCAAGAAAAAAATGTGAGTTGGAGACTAAGGAACGGGAGATAGAAGAAAAAAAAATTAAAATGGTGAGTGTACTTTTATAATTTTATATCAAAATAATCTTTTTTATACTATGTATTTCCAACAAAGAAATATTCTAGTGCAATAAGTGCTGCAAATTTGATTGGTTAAAGCATTGGTTCTCATGTCCTAATGTTTTCTACATTTTCGCAGGCTGAGCTAGAACATGATAAGAAGCTTCTCAAAAAACAAAAGGCTGACCTAATGAAAGCCCTTAAAACACAAACTACGAGAACAATTACGCCATCAATAGAAAACGCCATCGCACCAGAAGCTTTTGAAAACCTTAGAAAAGAACTCGTCCTGAAATCGAATTACATCACACAACTTTTAAATGAAAAAAAGATGCTCGAAAATTTGGCGAACAACGAAATTAGAAACAGTGTTGATGGAAATATGCCTTATGAGGATTTAGTGGCTAGAGTGAGTATTACCATTTAACGATATTACTGGTGCGCGCATTTGTTTGCTGGCGTTTGCACCTTTCAGTTTTAGATAAATCTACTAAGTACGTAAAAAACATTCTTTTAAAACAAACTTTGCTGAAACTAAGTCAAAGCTAAAAGACGATAATGCTTGTATTACGTTTAGAAGTAAAAGATAATTGCGGAAGATAGACTGGTAAAGTACTCAATTCGGTACTAGATCCACAACAAACAGTTAACGAAAGGCAAAAAAAGTTGAGAATCTTGAAATAAAATATAAAGGATACATACATACATTATTGGGATTCGAGGTTTAATTGATTGAATAGGTGAAACTTTGATAAAAAATAGAAATTTTGGTTTATTCCTTTATAAAAATGGACAAAATAGAGTAAACTCAGTAGGAAATAAAATTATCCATGTACCAAGGGAATGGGCTCTTTCACTTATTTTTGAAATTGGCATATTAGGATAAAACAACTAAAAACAGAATTTGCTGTATTTTTACTTTTGAAAAATTCATAGAAAAAGAAATACCTCCAAATAAAAACCCAGAATTTATTTCTATGACGTCGCAGCTCGCAATTTGACCGTGTTGCCACTAATTGTCAACATTGAAAATTTGTAATAGATTTAATTCTGAAATGTTGCCAAAATATCATGAAAAGTAGTTAAATTAATTAGTTATGAATTCAAGATTTTATAACTTTTTTATTGAAATTATGTTTAAACACAATTTAATACAATTTTTTATATTTAATTTTATTTTATTTTTTTACGTTGCACTACATTTAGTCACCACCGACAACAGCGCATTCGAACCTTTATCTGCTTTTACTACAGGGTAACACAGCCGAGGCGGTTAGCTCGTTGCAACAACGACCGAAATGAAAAATATTTATGTGACGTCAGCAAATCGGCGCGTTTTAAATCATTTTGAATTTCGCCAATTTCAAATGCCTGTAAAAAACTTATTTAACCTTCCTTGTAGAACATTTTTTTTTGGTATAGGTATATGCCTAAAATAGTCTCTTCTTTGGGATTTTATACTTAAATTACGTATTTAAATTTTAGTGAAAGAGCCCATTATATACAGTGCGATGTTTCACAAACATGAAAACAAAGGCGTTTTAGGCATTTTAGGATATTTTAGGGTCGCTCGGACACGTCATTTTTGTATTCAATGGGGAAACTTTTTGACTCTTTTGGTATTTCGCTAGGGTGCACCCCCTGGGTGGGGTGACTTTCACCCCTTTTTTTTACATAGGGAAGATGGGTCGAGTGGCACCTTGTTTTAAAGGTATTTTAATTTTCGTCACAACTGCATTTTTTTTTTTGAAAATCGAATGATTAGTTCTAAAGATATTCATTGTCAAAGTTGCCATGGGCTAAACAAAAAACAATCTTCTGGCCTTGTTATTCTCGAATCAACACTTTCCTGACTTTCCTCCGTCAATTTTAATTTTTTGTGTGCTATCTAAAAAACAGTGGTAAAAGTCACTAGGGGTGCATCCTAGCGAAATACTGACAGGGGCGTAGTCACCGGTGTTCCGCGTGTTCCACGGAACACGGGCCCGGTAGCTCAAGGGGCCGGGTTCGACATGTCAATATTTTTTTTTCTATTAAGTATAAAAAAATCATGTGCAGCGCCGTACACGTAATAGAAATGAAACTTCTTAAAAACTATCCCCCGGCCCCCCTCATACAACTTTAAGACAGACAAAAGAGAGACGCGTATCCATAGTGACGTCACAGGGGTATTGGCGCTTCACAATAATAGGCAATCCTCTTTGCGCTTATAATCCTTGGTTTGTGAAATCAATGTTATAGTGGCTGTCTTTCTCCATCTTTTTGCGTCTTATATTTTTCTTCTCTATCGTGTAACGAAATTTGCCAAAACGTGACGCGTCTTTCAAATCATTCTCCATTGTTGTCCTAATATCAGACCGCTGCCTAAGAAGTTTCACTTCAAGAATACATTTGAAGCTAATTTATATGAAAATAAAAATCATGTCCCACTGAACAAAATAAGATTACAGTAATAATGAGGTAACACTACACTGCAAACTTGTAAGGTTATATTGAAGTTTACTGTAATGTTGACGCAGTATTGCGGCAAGTACTGAAACAACCTTAGGGTAATATTACAAATGCAAGGTTTATAAATGATAACCTTTCAGCAATATTACTGGAATATTAGATCAAAACTTCAGCAAACTTACGAGTGTAAGGTTACAAATTCAAATATACCTTAGGGTTACTTGCAATTTATTAGTGAGTTTACTGCAATATTGCATTTTTATTACAAATATATTGGGTTCGCAACTTTACTGCAATAAAAAAGTAATGTTGCAACTGTAAATGCTATGTACCTACCTATACAGAGAGATTTGAGTTGCGGTGCATAAACTCTAACAGCTTGTTCTAAAAACAAGCTGTTAAAATTTGTGCCTGAAACCCATAATCATAATATATTAGGTAGATATTTTATTATGAATAAAAGTACAAGTTTTTGGAAAACAAAATAAAAAGGTTGGTAGGTATATTATGTATATCTATAATACTCACAATAAAAAAATATACTTAGGTGAAAAACAAAACGTAAAAAGTAATATTGTTACGTGGCAAAACGTAACGGAGAAGACAATAATAAGATTTTGAGGAGGGGGGAAAGTGAATGGGTAGCTAAAAAGAGAAAGAATAGAAAGAAAGTAGAAAGGGTTGGTTGGTGGCTGAAATCTAGAAACGTGATTTCGTGTATAGGGTTGCCGACTAGCTTCCAATACGGAGAGTGGTGTGGGTTAATTAATTAACTAAATATAGAGCGCCACCTACTTTTTCCCTGCAGTACACGAAATCAACCGATATAACGAAAGCAGGAAACTTCTACGGGACTATAGCAGCACAACCTGAAATATAAACAAGAAGAAGAAAAAAAAAGTGAAACGCTTTGCTACGATCAGGTACGGGTCTTTAAATAAAACTCGAACAGAATGGGTTTGACTCCAGAGCAGGTTCGGAGAAGAAAAGAAATCGCCTAAAAACTAGAAGTACCTACCTAACCTATATACTCTAAAAATAGTAAATACAATAAATTAACTCGAGTCCCTTAAAGTAAAGAGTACCGTACAACAGCAAAATTACCTGAAATATAAATGATCAATATACAAGCTCACTAAATGCAGTACCTTCGTAAATGGCCATTTAACCCCAGTGTACAAGTATTTACCTGTATTCAGTGCAGCATTAATCAAAGTGGAAGTAACAATACGTAACCTGAAGGGCTTTAATATTATGTAACAATATAGGTAGTATAGGTACCTAGATACCTAATAAAATTGAAGTACCTGACCATACATAACCTGGATGGCAAGTTTCATAAAAAAACAAGGTGATATAATTAATTAAAAATTGTAATAGCAACACATAATCTGAAGGATAATTTTTAAGGTAGTAAATCTGCGTTGTTGTGGTGTTTTACTCCAACAAGGGCTTGGCAAGGTTTGATACTAAGACAATACGACACACTTATCAAACCTGAGTAGTCCCTAAACTCTTGGAGAAACCTGACGGATGGAACTAATATCTTCCAGTGTTTCCGATGGCCTGGGTCTGGATCAAGGCCGCAACAAGAAGCAACTCGCCCTGGGCTCTAAGGCTTCCAATTGTCTAAAGGAGGCTGAAGATTGTAGGTCCTACTCGAAGTATACCGTAAGCTTAACGTATAACTCTTTACTGAAAGTTAGGGACTGAAGCGTGACGAATAAAAGGGAACATCTAAGGGTAACGATTAAAGCGTAACTTCTAAAGGTGAAGATTAAAGGCCAAAATACTTTGACCTTTAGGAACAAACAATTGGTCACGTTGCTTTTTCTCGACTCACAAATAAAATCCGCACAAGGCGATTGGGTGCTAAAATAACGATTAGCCACCCTAGATCTATGAGCAAAAACTAGACAACTCAGAAAATCGGCAAAATGTGCCTGAGGAATTTTCCCGAACACTTAGGGTCTGTTCCCACAGAAGTCTCCGACAGTTTGCAACCTGTCAGAAACAATCGCTCAGCTGAGTTACAGATTGATCTTGGAACGACAGCATTGAAAACATGTATGGGCGATTTTTACTGACAGTTTGCAAACTGTCAGAGACTCCTGTGGGAACAGACCCTTAATCGTGGAAAGTCCTCGACCTGAATGACCTCTGAATGTCCCTGCAATGTCCTTTAAAAAGTGTCTGTCAAAACTCCACGGTGGAAGGTACTGGGGATTTTGATGGTAGTTGGGGCATGGTACTTATTCAAATTAAGTTAGTACCGGTCATGGACCCTATTTGGAGCGCTGTCAATCTAGACAATCTACTCCGATCAGACATCAGCTGTTCTAGTGTAATTATTGTGATTTTGTTTCATTAAGAAATTAATTGTCTATTTATTTTAACCCTACTAACAGAAAATCAATTCCAATAATAAACCTCTAACACAATGATTCTGGGAAAAATTAAAAGTTTGATGAAAAGTTTGGCCACAACTATTGAAAAGACAACAGTGGCTTGACGAAGGTATACAATTCATACCTTTATTTTGGAGCGGAAAAAATCATCCCGTAACAACACCTCCCTTCCGTACAAAAAAAAAGTTATCAAACTTTTTTTTCTCAAGAAAGAGGACAAAACTAACATTACTTCACGAAACCATACTATTATCCAAAAACACACATCATACAATATAAAGATTACCCAATCGTAGGCCATGCCTAAAAAGAAGCATCAATATCGGGTGGGTGAGCCTTGAGATCTTTGGCGTGCCAATTACCTATAGGGCGACCATTCAGGTCCTTGAGCTCGTAAGTCCAAGGAGATAGAACTCGAGAAACTAGAAAAGGGCCGGAAAATTTTGGGGCAAGCTTGGATGTGAAATGTTTCGCGGCATCAGAAAGGTGGTAATTCTTTTTCCAAACTTGTTGGTCAACAGTGAACCGTTCGTCACGTCTTCGCAAATTG